GTAGTAGTAGTAGTAGGAGTAGCAGGAGTAGTAGTTGTAGTAGTAGTTGTTGTTGTAGTTGTATTGTAGTTGTTGTTGTTGTCGTTGCCGTTGTCGTCCTAGTCCTCTTCGTGGTCCCGGTCCTGGCACCAGTACTAGTACTAGTGGTACCAGTACCAGTACCAGTACCGGTACAGAATCTGGTTTAGGTTTCGCACAGACAAGTGAAGGAGCAGATGAGTAGATGAAAGTAGTGGCGAAGTGGAGATAACACCAGACATACTCATGCTTTCGACACCCCGGAGAAAGCATATGGAGACAGAGGAGCTTGGAAGAACAGTGGGCAAGGAGGCTGAGGTGGATCGCGACCATGCATGGCTATGGGTGTTGCTAATGCGCTTACTCCTACAACTAATTACTCGTACTTTTCCGTTGTTATTGATGCTGCCATTGCTTCTGTTATTATTGTTTGCTTGCTGTTGCTGCTCGCCTTGTTGTCATCGGTGGTTCACCAATGCTTATGGTTAGGACTACGTGTTGCAAGCCACTGTTTCTTTCTCACAAACAGCCGGGTCGGCTCGCCCGGTGCGGCCACGGGATCTCCCTTGCTCGGAGCACCGCTCAAGTCGAGGTTCCTTGGCTTCTGCACTACTTTCCGTGGGGCGTGGCTTGCTTGTTGTGAGCCCCTTTTCGGAGTAAGCAAGGTTCAAGGTTGCTCATTCGGCTGGGATCGAACCGAAAAGCTCGACCCTTGATCGCAGTGCCACACCGCAATAAGTCACCGAGCATCAACTTCGTCAGCGTTCCGGCAATGTCAACCTGCACGGAAGGACGCAATCGAAGCCTGGTGTGCCTGCTCCCAGCTCTATCCTGGAGCCCACTATAACCACGGAATGCTTATGCGAGCGGGGTCTGGTACAGTACTACATAACCCAGTATTCCTCAAGTATCTCCAGTACTCCTTTACGTTCTCTAAGGTTCCTGAAGGATCCCTAGGCCTTGCACCCTCCCTCCTCAATCTACACTCCTTTGCAGATCCTATAATATGAAGCTTGTACCAAAAACTGTAAAGACACTGAAAGTGCGACAGAAAGAATCACTGAAAGAACTAAGCAATGCTCCGCAAGCACATAAGAAACAGCCTGGTTCTCGCCGGTGGAGTCCACCGTGTCAACTGACACCTTTGCTGCAAACCACAGTTGCAATGCAATCTGCAACCAGCAAATAGTGGACCTGCTGACTGAGTGAGAACGCGGCCTCATCGCACCGGAGATGCGGAAAAGTAATGTTCAGCCCTATCCTCAATCTCTGGCAAGATCTCAATGTCTGCTCGTGTCAGCTCGCATGCCGTTGCTACCAGGCCAACATCCACTGCAAAACTAGGTTCCAGGCGGAAGTTTCTGGTTCAGAGTTGTATCTACAACGATATGATCCTCATTTTGCCATGCTGCATAAGCAACTGAAAACGTCTTGTGCAATGCTTCGAGAGCCAGGCAATGATTTCTGCCTGAAGATAACTTCGAAGTTCGGAGAGGAACAGCAAAGCCTCGCCATCTAGCTTCGCGGAATTGACATGTATACGTAACAGAGTGATCGGGGACCCTGCCATGATGATCATAGACACCAACGAGATCAGTCCACCGCTTTGCGTCTTGATTTTGTAATCATCATGTACCTGCACGTCGTGTGCTTGTGCGGTTCATGTCAAGTTATGAATGCAGGAGAAACCCATGGGCCGCCACCACTCGCGACGAACTGAGCACAACAAACAGCACTGTCTGAGGCTGGTTGCTTTCAGCAACCACATGGTTGCTGGCCCATGGGCTGGGAGGGTCGAATCTTGAGTACCAAACCCGGGCCCTCCTGTGCAGTAAAAGCTCTTCCATGCCTTGCCATACAAGTCGAAGCGCTTCACGGCGGAACGGCGTGGCCCAGAAGAGGCTTGCTGCATCGTTTGGTGCCGACAATACAACAAGGTCAACGACTGTGCTTTGGAAAGGGGTCTTTTTGCAGGGGTCTTGGCTAAAGAATCAAGCCTTGATCAGTAATCTGTTGTCAACGACGAGACGAAGACCGCGCAGCCGAATATCGTATTCTTATGTCTGTGACTTTACTGCTGGGCCTGATTTTAGTTTTAGTCTTTGTCTATGTGTCGCGTATTGTACTAACGCTGTCTGGGAATAAGGGTCTGCAGCAGCAGTCTAAAGTCTACAGCTATGGGCAGCTTGGATCCTTCAATGTCTTGGATAAGGGCACGGAGTAGGACTGCCGACAGACAGTCTAAGCAGTTGGAAGCTTGAGCAGATGAAAGACATCAATAATGAGGCTCATGTGAAATCTGATCACGGTTGCATGGGAACACGCAGAATGCCAAACGCGTGTGGGACATGTCAACAGGGGATGAAAACAAAGGTGCTGCTAGCGCTTCCGCCTGTTGCAAACCTATACGACGGTCGGCATCAGATAACCTTAAGAGCAGAACACCCCACAGTACCAGTAGCGGTCCTTCTGACCGGCTTTCACCTAGCAGCAGCACTGTTCCACATCAGTGCTGCAGAACTCGTGTCGTCGAAGCAACGGCTACAGCGCCAAGCTTCGGGAAACATCGTACCGCCTTCGCAGGTACAGAAAGGCACTTCTCGGACGGGGAAAACCGAGAAGGCTCGGGTCCTGAGACCAAGATCGTACTGCCCTTGCAAGTACCAAAACTGGACATGCAGCCATGATCCAGAGGATCAGACCACAGTTGAAAAGAGTGATTCGAGCAGCGGCACGATGGACCAGATTTCAGGCGAAAAGCTCCGGAAGTTGAACAGATTTAGGGCTCCAAGCGTGCTGCAAGGGCTACTGCAATCCTTCTCGGGGTATAAACTGGCACCTGCTCAATGGCTCGATGTCCCGACCACTGTGAACGCACTGTCGGATTCCTCACCCCGGCTAGTTTGCTGTACCTTTTCCAACTCACAGCCTCCTTGGTCTTACTGCATTGATGCCTAAAGCGTCGATGCATGCATGGACCCTCCATTTGGCTCCCTGCGGAGTGATGCGAGAATGCAGGA